TTTTTTTGCCAACGATATCAAGAAATTTATAATTCAATACATATGTTATGCAAAATCAATTGAGAAGTCATTAGATAATTACTTTCAAATGTACTAAACATTTGGTTTGAATTCATGTTTTTTAAGATATTCATTACATTTTTATGGCAATAGAAATGGGAATTGTTTTCAATTTATTTTAGTTTACATTTAGTTTATATTTTGATTAGTCGGCCAATGAGTTGAGGATTTTTGTGTTGTTTTGATTTCAATCACTAAAATACAATTATATAACTGTACACTTGTATTGTGTATTGGATTACAATATAATTGTATGCTTTGGTATTAAATAACAAAACCGATCGTTAAATTTTTAATTGAAAAATATCTACTGAATCCATGGCTCACTCACTCTCTCCTTGTGTTTAACATTTGTATCGTGTTTTGCATTTAATTTCCTTTATTTAAATCCCAGTTTTATTAAGTTATTTGAATCCAAATTAAATCAACCATTTATTTGACATAAAGATTATCTATTATTTGATACTTTGGGTGACAGTTCAAGAAACACGAGATTAAAATCTTAATTATTATTTAAATATATATTTCCTGTATTTAATAAAACATAATTTTTAATGTATTTATAGAATAGTTTATCAAATAATAAGTTTATGTAAACTTTGAGAAAAAATTCTATAAAAATACACTTTTTTGATGAATTAGTGATTTTAATTGAAACGATTTAATGTGAATTGAATCATAAGTTTGTTTGTGAGATATCCTTGAATTGACTGCACTTATCAGTGGAAAAAATGTAATTTCAAGTTTTTGAACGATTTTCTAGCAATTTATTAATTGAGTGAACAGTATGTCAAGAGTTTGGCTCAAATCCATATCTCTCCACAAAAATACATTTGTACTGAAATGATTGGCACATAATTTATTTGCAATAAAAATAAATAAACCATTGTTTAAAAGACTTATCAATTATTATTCTTATAGATGGAACCGATAGACGTATTAAAGTGGATAACCCGGTGGTGGAGATGGATGGTGACGAGATGACCAGGGTTATCTGGGAAAAGATCAAGGAGAAAGTTAGACATTACTTATTGCCCACACTTTCCCTCATTATGATTATAATGATTGTGACACTCAATTAACATGTGTTTTGATGTTATAAATAACAGCTAATCTTCCCATATCTGGATCTGGAATGTCTTTATTATGACTTGGGTTTACCGCATAGGGATCAGACCGAAGATCAGGTGACATACGATGCCGCGCAGGCTATCCTAAAGTACAACGTGGGCATTAAGTGCGCCACCATTACGCCCGATGAGGCCCGCGTTAAGGGTATGTCCGCCGCC